GGATATTAAGCTGCTTTTGAATGCCTCGAAGTTCTGCGTGCCACCATCAGCTAACCTGACCAGGTCTGGCCAGCCAGCCAGAAGCTAAATGTGTTCAAAGCTCTGGAGATTATGTTGGGCACAAATCTAGGCACAATTTGTGCCATTTAGTTCTCTCAGTAAGCCAAAACACAGTTTTGACTACAAAAGACATTGGCACGCGCAGATGTCCAAGTAAATCATTATAACACACTCACTTGTGGTTGTAGCACTGGAGGGAATTTGACAAAGTCAAATGAAGCCCATCTTTCTTAGCACCATTTCGGCATTTGATTAAGTAAAAAGGGAAGGTTTTAAAGAAAGTGCAGTGAGTTAAATTTAAATTACTTGAGGTAATTACAGTAATTTTTAAAACTACTTTAATAGTGACTACTATGGAGGAACACTGTACTAAGCTTTGACACATGAGTTTCACTACAAGAAGGGAATGACACTGATTTCAAATATGACTACATTCAGCAAGCAAAGCAAGTACACACAATAGCAAGATAATAGATGAGGATCTATGCTACAACTTCTGCTGTAGGTATAATGTAACCTGTTGTGGAAGCCCACTAAAGTTCTGTGGTTAAAAATATGATGTCTGAAGCAGCTTTGTCAATACCACTTCCTGTTAAAGAACCAGACTATCACAACTAAAGAAAAAGAGCCAGTATTTTCTGAAAAAAAACTTTTCCAAAATACATATTCCTAAAGTAATAATTTTAATTATTGTAAAGATGCAAAGACAAGAATATTTACCCATATTACTCTGTCTTCCATTTATCTCCCCTTATATCAATTTTCCCAGGTAAAAGGGAAGAACTAGAAGAGAAATGAAGACAAGAATCCCCAAAGGAATCAAGAACCTTTGTGGCTTTTGAAGATAAAATAAAACTTTTCCATAGTGAAAGGAAGGTTTTTGGGAGGGAGTGAGAGAAGAAAAACTTTAGTGAAACAAATTTAAAAAAAACACCTCAAACTGACAAAACAGAAATTATTGCACCATTAGCTGCATTTCAAACCTCATATAATAAGGGCAGCCAGCCTGCAAATCTGGAAGAGAATTCGGCCCATGTTATTGGTGGATGATTTCAACACAGCCCCAAGGGAAATGCATTTAAAGATCCATATGTTTGCTTGGCACCAAACCAAATTCCATTAAATAACACTGTATTCAGCTACACAACAAATTTACTTACCATACATTTCATATGAGAACTAATTTGTTTGATAGCAATATTGCTGATGTTTATATTGGTTTACTGTAATGAAAACAGTATTTTCCAAACTATGAACAAATGCATACCAGTAGTTTTACAGTGGCTTAACCAAAGTACTGGTAGTACTTCAAGAAGGGAATTTATACAATATGTACATTTCTCAGTGCTTTTCATGCCAAACATAGGAAGGGGTTTCCACTATGAAGATGGAACTTGCTTTTGTCACCAGCAGAGCTGATCTAAGTCCCTTTGTGAGCCATGCGGGGAGCATGAGGCCAGCAGGACTACGGGCAATTCCAGGTTTGACAGCTTGCTGGATCCAAAAATGACTTCCAAATATTGGAAAACCAAATATTCAGAGCTGGTGGAGTGGAGCATGACACAAGGTTCTCACTTCTCATGACATTACAGAAATTATTAAGGCAATCACTTAACCGCTGTTTCAACTGAATGTTAAACCCCTAATTGCAAATATGAAACCAAGGCCCTTTATATAAAATGTGAAATTCACATACCATCATCTATCTGGTCAACAAAGCTGCCAAATATTTTCATATACACAAAAACATTGACAACCGAGTTGTGCTATAAAAACACTAAAACATCTTGAGGATTTCACTCAGTAATTCCAGTGGTCTGGCATTAATCAGTTGGACATCTTCAGAAAAAATATATTTCCTTAGTGAGGAAAACATGTAGTTCTTCCAATAAAGTCACCTTCAGTGCTTCACAGGTTTATATTTTTGCTTAGAGAAGCATCATTACAAAAAAAAAAAACCAAAAACCAACAACTGAGAAGGAGCCAAGGATAATTTAATGATGTACTTACTGAAACCTCTGCAAATTGTCCTTTTTGTCAGCTTTTGATATACAAAATCTGCCCTGGCACTTCCAAAATTAATATTCATTCTTTTCACCAGCACAGTTCTGACTTCTGGTTATGATTCATGCTAAATTATAAATACAAACAGAAGCAGAGGCCACATTGTTTCCAAAAAAACATATTAATATATTATTATAAATACTGTCAGCACTATTTGCCATCCTGTTCATTTCTCAGGAAATTATGTTAAATTAGCACGTAGCACTCCACGCCACCTCTGTACATGCTGGAGGTGGCCACATTACAAAAATCTTTATGCTTCCAAGTGTAAATCTGATGTGATGTGTCATGAAATGAAATGTTTCTCCACAGGCTGACTGCCTGAAAGGAGAGGGAACCTACTTCTAAACAAGCTTCCTCTCCCTTCCCAAACCAGTGGGGAAGGGAAGGGGGCAGTCAGACCTCTGTCTTACAGTAAACTGAAAGTCCGAACTGAAAAATACTCTGCTGCAAACCAAAGAAAAGTTTAATTCCATTTCTGAACCCCTGAGTTCCTCACTGACCATTTATTTAGCCAAGTTAGAGTGTAATCAATTCAGTGGAAACAATGAAGATTATTAATTTCTCTGAGAAAAGCAGGCTCAAGGCTTAAGTCAAAATAGGTCTACGGGTAAACCTGACTTCAATTACCGGGTATTTGGAAAAATCCTAGTGATGAAAATGCCATAGTTCTTGCCCAGAAGATCATCAGTCAGCCATTACTATTTCTGCATGCAAAGACAATGAAGGGAAGCTCTGTTTTAAGAGTAGATGAAGTTAGTTGCCTAAATCATGCATTGCATTAACCTGCATGTCATTCCAACTTCCATTTCATAAAAAGGAAAACACAAAAGAGAGTCTCTCCTCTGATACATAAACATACCTTATGTGGACTAGAGATTAGCAATGGAAACTGTGGAACAGGAGCATGGTTAGCACTCGACCATTCTTATTAGTCTGGAAGCATTAAATCACTGCCCTGGCAATTTTGGCACATTAGTGTGGCTAAGATTCATAATAATTTTGACTGCTCCTCACAACACCGTGGCTACATCGAGAACTTCACCCCAAATTGTCCAAATTCAAACCAAATAAACTCCATATTTGAATCTAGGCTTTCTACATAGATCCATCAGTGGGAACCATAGGCTCTAAGGCAGCAGAGTTCACATTCACATGCTTGAATATCAGTATTTGGCTGGAATGTGCCCCAGAAAGCATTTTTTCTACTAAGATCAACTATGACAGCAGATAACGATTGCAGTCTGATTCATTTCTGCATATTTTAAAAGTCAAGAAGCAGCAGAAGTGATATTTTTATAAATTTTTTACTGTATGCATGACATAAGATCTTGATGGCTTGCTTGATTCAAACTATGATCTGACATACTTGATGCCTATCACTGTACATTGTGGTGCAAAACACCTTTAACCAACCAAGAGAGCACAAGCAAGCAATTAATTCTTCTATGCTCTCATTAGGAGTTGCAGACTATTAGACTATTACTGCTTCATGTTGCATTTAATTTTACACAGTAACTACTTTTAAGAAGCAGGGTAAAATATTCCCCAACCACAAAATACTGGCCCTTAGAAGTGGTGGAAGGTTCTAAGCACACTCTCTTGGTCTATTTTGACAATCTCCACTGTGTATTAAGACACAGGTTGGAAAGCCTTGTTGGCTTTGTTGTCTGGAATCATGACAAATGACAAATTCCTTGTCATTAGCAATTAATGGTTCAAGAGTAATGTTTAATACTCATTACACAACTTTTTTTAAGCACTTAATAAGGAGATACCAACTTCTCCTTGCATTTTTAAAGGATCCTACATATTTACACAGTGAACCTACTGAAGATTTTAGGTGCCTCCTCACCAGAACAGTGCCTACAGCTCTCACATACATAACAGAAGAGTGGGATTTCTGTCCTTCAAGCTCACAAAACTTACCTTGATGACAGCAGGTTTGGTATGGTACTCAGGCTCAATGCCGTGCCATGGGGAATATGAGGCCTTCCTGGATTGACGCCACTGGCTCTTCTAAATTATGATTTTTTAATCTAACTGTTCAATAAACACAGAACTCACCCAAGGCATGGCTGGGTGCTAAGTCCCAGTGCAGTGTGCTGAGAAATATTTGACCAGATGTGATATTGAAAATAGAACTGCTAGTTTCTCTTCTGAGTAGTGATATCAGGTTCACACAGTGGAAGAGGATTTGGAAAAGAAACAGAAGTAGGAAACTGAATTGGTAATTATTATTTCCTTTCTCCAGAGCACCCTTAACCAGCTGCATTTAAAATGAAGGTTGAGTCAAGATGGAAAACTTATGAGACAGATTTCTCTTCTATGATCTCCCAAAGAATCTTCACAGCTGTTCTAGAACATGTGTCAACTGCAAAGTAAACTCATATCCACTTTCCTCCATCTATGTCTTAACAAATTTTGTTCTAACATTGTCCACTAGGTTTCCATCTCCATGTTTTGCCATCTGGATCTCATCGTTATAAATACAAGTTACTTTCACCCACTTGGCTCACTTCATATGCAGAGCCTTTTTAAATGGCTTTAAAGATGATTTACTAAAAAAGCAGTGAAAGATCTAACATGAGAAGAGATTAACTTAAGTAGAGAATTTCTTGCTTTAATGTCAAAATTATGTTACCAATGACTTCTGGCTTCCCACATTGTTCAGCCAATTTCTGCCTTATTCATATTTGTTCTTTGACTTTGTATGCAAGCACATTAATTACTCAGAAGGCACCCACATTCACAGCAATGATCTACTCACAAATTTTAAACATCTGAAATATAAATGTGAAGTATCAGAAAAGTAGAAAGAAGAAAAGGTCCAAACAATACTGCTTTGTTTCTGAAGCACTATGAAACACAGTAACTGAGCCCAAGAGTTAAAGACTTTATTAAATGAGTTTTCTTTTGCCTACTGAATTGTGTATTTCACCAAAACAGAACCAAGCTCCAAGAAAATAGTATCAATCTGAAAGGACTTAGTCAGTTATTCCAGTTACACTTTAAATGGTTTTAAAAGTTTCTACTTTAAAGCCAAACTCTTATCTAACTATGAAAGGAAAGAAAAAAGTACCTCAAAAAGACTTACAGTAAGAACATAAACCAGCATTGCCAACTAATTGCTCCTGCCTTCTTCCTGGAGCAGGACAGAACCACCCTCTTTCTAGTTTATGTTCTCATACCTTCAGTAGGTCAAGTGGTACAGATCCTGGCATGGCTCTTAAATTTTGCAGTATCTTCCTCAAAGTGATGTTCAGGACTGTATCTTTAAACAGGACAAAAACAGAAAGGAAAAAAAAAATCCACAAAAACAAACAAACAAACAAACAAACAAACAAAAACCCCACAACAAAAAAACCCCAAAAACAAACCAAAGGAAAGCACCTCAAATTGATTCCTCCCAAAAGTGAACGGCATCTTTTGCCTTAAAATTTTTGTATGATCAGGAGTGAAACATTATGGATGAACCAGAAATGTTGCATTCTTTATCATTCTCCTCATCTAAATCTAAATTCAGCTGGTAAGACATACCAGTTCAGGGTTCTGTATGCCCTGGCACCTGGTACAGGAAGTCTGTCCCAATAACAGGCAACCATTCAGGCAAAAGTGAAGTCTTTGATTCTTACCGTCTCTAAGAAGGACTTTAAACTCTATCCAGAAATTAACAGGCAGCTCCTGGAGCTGCAGTGCCATAAGCATTGCAGAGATGCCGTTTTGGCAAATAAACCCCACCCTCTTTCCAGTATTAAATTAAAAAATAATTTTTAAAAGTGTAGTAAGAAAGGGCCAGGTTAAAAAAAAGGGCCAATCAGTCAAAAAGCTGTCTGAATTACTTCTGAAACATGCTATCAAACAGCTGGGCTAATTTTTGACTATTAAGGTTTTCATTTGACTAGAGATCTAACAGCAGGCCCACTGTCTTCAAGGACTAATATTGCCTCTGGATGCTTCTCAATACCAACCAATAACCCAAATTTTTCTGGGCTAAACTTCAATCTGTTTGTCCAGTATGAGCTTGGCACCATCTGGAACACACAGCCACACCTTCTTCAACTAAAGGGACAGGCGAGTCCCACTGTGCTCACTTCCCGCAGACTGATGGAAATCTATTGAGTTCTCCAACATCCCAGAAGTGACCTCAAAACCTCTGAGATTTGAGACTCTGTTACAGCATATACCTGATGGATTTCTGTTATGTCACAATGCATCTCCTGATTGGTTGGTGTTTCACTCACAAGCCAAGAAGATGGAAGAAAATAGATGCAAACTGGGAACTTACTGTTTTCTAAAGGATGTCATGACATTTGTAATTCCTTCTCAACCTATAACAGGGGAACTAAGCCAAACCCTGTATCCACTGTATTTGCAATTATTCACATTGCAAAAGCAATCAAAAGAGCTGGGTTTGGCTTGGTAATATTTTCTATTTTCTCCATGGTATTCCTTCAACTGTTTTATGCTATTCTCTGACCCTGTTAAAAGCCACCTTGCCAGAAACCTGCCACTTTCCCATGTGAATGCACTTGTCACCAAAATTAATTGCCACCTTGCATTAGTGGTTCAAAGAGCCTCTTGATAGGAGCTCAGGAAGAACAGAAAATGGGGCAAAAGTGATGCATTATCCCTAAAATGCCGCTACTTCACTTGTCAGGGATTGCAATTAGAGTTGGGCCAAGGCAATGTTAGCTCAGCTGCATCTGAACACACCTGTTTCAATTTAATTTGCAGTAATTAGGAAGCCTAGGGCACCAGGAAAAACTGCTGGTCACTCACTCTTTCAAATAGCTGAGTTTTCATGTGCCATTTAAAATGCTGTTTTTCAGAACAGACTGCTGACTTGCTAATGCTAGGAAAATGAAATACAGCAAAATATTTTTAGCAGCAGGAAGTTGTTACTTGCTACTGCCAATTACATGGCTTGTACTTGAACAGTGTCATTTTTTTCCCCTTGCTTACTCTTCAAGATAGGTAAAAGCTGGCTGAGGTCTCAGGGCATGAGGATTTGAATAAAACTTAGTCCCTGGGAGCTGGCTGATATTTCTGGAGTCATAGTCAGTACTGGCAGCAATCTGCTGTGACAGAGCAAACAACAGTGTCCCAGATCCACTCCTCAAAAACGGGAAAATGAGAGGATTAAGCAAGAGACTTGGATCTATTGGCTTTGGCAAAAGGCTGAATAGCTTGTCATGCTAAAAAAATTACTGAAATTGGGGGGTAGAAAATGGGGCAGAGGGGGGGAGAATAAAAAAAGCATTACAATTACATAAGAATAGATATTTATACTCTGAGTTAATTTATCAAACTGACAGAGAGATGAATCATCCACCATAAAAATAAGGGGGATACAAGTTTTCTTTATATCACAATCATTATTTACAACTTTTAAATATTCACGGAGGAGTCAAGTATCCTCATCTTTTAATTTAAAATGTGGCCATGCAGGCCAAAAGAAAACTCTTGGCAAAAATAAGTTTCTACAGGAACAGGGCCCAAAGAATGATTTTTTTCAAAAACAGGATAGATCTTAGCAATCATGATGGTACTTTTTTTTTTTTTTAAACCTACACTGCAAACCACAGAAGGCTCAATAAACTCACACAAACCTAGAGCTCTGTAACAAAACAATGAGGAAGAACAATAACAAGACCCTGTGGTATAGCTAGACACAGCTACATAGGACTTTTTAAAATATAACACAAATCTGATTTTTTTTCAGGGGACATACAGCTCTGCTTTGAGGCAAGTTCATTCCCACATGCTGAGAATCCAATTGAAGCCAATACAGTCTCCCTCACTAAACTAACTTAAATAGATGCATGCATTTGTACAAGTAAAACTGTATTATTTTAGTAATTGGCCTTTTTGTTGCTACAGTGCCATTAGAAACTACCATGCCGCTGCATATTTTTCCATCTTAGAACACTTTCCTGCCCAATCCTCCTCACCCCCCAAAAAAACCCCAAAACAAACAAACAAACAAACAAACAAACAAACAAAAACCTGGGAGATTCACAGTACTGCTCCCTGAATATTGCTTTGACTATTTTGGAATGCTTTTAATATTATCAGTCAGTATTTTTTGTAGACTGGCATGTGCTTAAAAACTGGACAAGAAAACAGAAAAAGAAATCCATATAATAAAGTGAGGTTTAGTGGTCAGCACCTTTTTTCACCTCTTAGGTGAACTTTATAGTATAAAAGTGTTTGCCTGAAGCTATGCTTATATAAGGATATGGGACACCCACATATATGTCACACATGATTTTAAAACTATGAAAAATCAGAAGGTATGAGGCTGGATCTTCATTTATTCATTAGCCTTTGGTGCTTCAACAGGCAATTTCTTTACAATCCAGGATTTTAATTTTTCTATTTCAGTTCTGTTCAGCTCATGATTGAGGTCTGGAAAAGTGTGAAGTGATGTTGATACTCCCAGAGACTTTAACATCTTGTTGGTCTCTTCACCCCATGAGTAGAGAACTAGATCATCAGCAGTTCCATGGCATTGAAATAATTCTGGAAGAGCACTTTCATTTCTTCTCAAAGCCTAGATGGAAAGGAGACACTGTCAGACATACTGCCAAAAATTTAAGGAATATTTACAATTACATGGTGACAATTACTGCACTTACTGATCTACATTTTAGGGGTCATACTGTACTATCTCTATAGAAGTAAATAAGGAAATACTGGAAAAAACTGCCCTTCAAGTGTCAATACAGTAACTCTTGACAAATGGTAGTGTTTACTTTAAGGTCTATATCCCCCTCTAAATAAGAGAAAGAGAAAAAACTCATGACAGCAAATGGAGCTCGTATTATAATGCATCACACATTTTAAAAGAATACTTATGCTTACACAGTCTCTTTAACAATTAAGGACAACTAGTAAAGCATTTCATTTGTTAATCTCTTTCTACACTTTAATATTGTACTGTCTGTGCAAAAAAGTGCAATAAAACATTATTTAAAGACAGCTTAAAGCCTCACTTTCCTAATATTCTGCTTATCTATTTCCTGGAAATGACATAAATTTAGAATGTGAATCAACTGCCTCAGACATATAAACATGTATATTGAATTTTAATCACCATGTTTTCCATGTAGCTAAACATGTTTTCTATAATATCTACTACACACTCACCTGGTAAACAGCAGAGTCTTTATTCAGAAAACTGGACAAGGCAAAGACTCCTGCCAGATCCTGATGAAACCTAAAGGCCAAATGCATTGCCATTCCACCTCCCATTGAAAAGCCTCCTAAAATGCACCAAAAGAAAAAAAGATTTTTCTATAAGTCTTTGTAACCCAATGTACAATTTATTATCTTCAGACTTGTTTCTTTTATACATAATACAAAAAAAACCACCCATCTTGAGTATCATAAAGGTTACAAAGATTTTAGAACTACAGAGTCACTTAGGTTGGAAAAGATCTCTAAGATCATAAAGCCCAACCTATGATTCAACACCACCTTGTCAAGTAGCCCATTGCATCAAGTTCCACATTCAGTCATTTCTTGAGCACCTCCAGGGACAGTGCCTCCAGCACCTTCCTGGGCAGACCATCCCAAAAGTTTAACAACCTTTTTGTGAAGAAATTCCTTCTGACATCCAACCTGAACCTGATGTGGCATAGCTTGAGGTTTAAATCAAAGCATGGTGCAATTAAGATAATGGATAGCTAAAGCAGTGCTGAAGATTCATTACTGAGAGAGGACAAAAAATGCCATCATGTCATTACTTCAGAAGCCATTTGCATATGGTCCCTATCAGGTAGCTGAACACTGTGGCCATGCATACTCTGACATAAACAAAGTAAAACTCTGTGAACAGGTAATTCTCACTGCTTTTTGTATTCAAGTTATTTCTCCCCTAGGCTAGCAGCATTCACACATGAAAGATCTCTATTTTACATAATCAATGAGCACTCACATTCAACTAGCTTTGAGGATATTTTTGTTGTTATACCTTGGGATACATCATAAATAGGGAACAAATGCAATGTATACCCCTGAGCTCTAACAGGAGGTCTGAATTAATGGCCCTCTGTGGTCCATATGTCTCTTCAACTACACTAATTCCTTACCAAAGATAATTCTTCAGGGATGATTTTTATATGACAAATGCTTGTTCAGTAGGAAAGAAATCCAGATTACTACATTACTTCACAAGGACACAGTACACAGGCCATGATATTGACTGTATCCAGATAATGAATAAAGTGAAGCTTTCTTTATTTTCTTATGCACAATATGGTCACTTATTTAATTTCCTTTTGATCATTCTGAAGAATGCTGTCATCTCCAAACCCCAAAAGAAGCACTTGTACTCTAAGAGACCATTTTGCATTTGCTTACAAATAAATACAGACAATGCTTGATCAACAAATAAAATGAAGTCCATTTAAAGCATTTCAGATTACAGGAAGAAAAGCTGCATTGAAAAGTCATTACTAGTTTGTAAATGATTTAATCTTAAAATTTTGTACCCAGTTAGTCACAATCTGGCACACTGTCTGCAATTACTCACCAACAGTCTTTGACAATGCAGTCACCTTCTGTTTAGAAGAATATTAGGTAATGGTTCTTTTATGTGGCTCATACTACTACAAGAAAATGCAATACAAAGAACTAGCTCTTTGAATTTGATTAGCATGGGAATACCTGAAGTTTATCACCTGATACCACAACAATCTCTGAATAAATGCCATATGCTAAATGCTTCAAAAACAACAATTTGAATAAGCATTTATAGATGCTATTTTTGCCTATATTATTTATGCCTATTTTTTCAATTAAAAGAACTATTTCAGTATATGTGCATGTTTGACATAAGACATAAAAGAGACTCTTAATCAAGAACTTCTAAAAGAATTCAAATTTTGGATGAAGGAAAAATAAAAGGGAGGTATAGATATTACACAAAGCCAATGTATGAAATGACAGTGTAAACAAAACACAAAAGTACATGTATACAGATGATCTCACCATGAAGAATACATAAACTATACAGCATTGTTAAGCAGATCGTGTCAGGAGTGTTAGATAAAATCAAAATGACACAGCAACATTTCATCCTTAGATGGGCAGAACACTGCAAGGTCTTCACCAATCTACTTCTCTACTTGAGACCAATCTACTTTCAAGAAACACAAAGACTGTGAACAGAAGTTCAGAATTTGCCAGAGGGTCTTAAATTTAGATGTATGTTCACTTTCAGTTTTCCCCTCATGCCTATTTTAATGAGAACTGTGATTAATGCTGCACAACAGCTAAACAGGGTTAGCTCAACAATGCTCAGGATGCCAGTTCAGGAAAGCACCTAACTCTTTGTGTTAACTTCCCTGACTCACAAAGGAGATTTATGTGTAGACTAATAGGGGAGCACACACAAAAGACTCAGTTATGTAAAACACTTCCAGTTGCAGAGAAAGTTCACTCAAGGATGCATTTATGACCTCAAATCTGCTTCAGTGTAGTGCTGATTTTTAGGTAGCACCCCTATGCAATAAGAAGAAAGCTGCTTGTGACTCACCTTGACAGCTGAGAAAGATCTGCTGAAATCAGACAATCACCAACTTCCAAATTAAAGAATCTGAATCAGAAGGAAACTCCCATGCAATACTTTACTAAAACTAAAACATTCTTTTCTGGAATATAATCTGTAACTAAATTCAGGTGATCTCAGGCACAGGATGATGTAACACAATGTGAACAGAAACAGAATTTCTCAAATGGAATTTATTCCTGATTGAATGAGACAGAAATCCTCACCACAGTTGCCATTTTTCAGTGATAAAATATTCCTTGTAAATGGCCTTAGGAGCCTTTTAAACAAAACTCCAGTTCATTTTTGTAAAAGATCTTGATTTGTATTAATTTGCTTCCCATTTGTATTTGCCTAAAATGACAATGTGGTCCATGATGACACTTGAACGTTATACAGGGTTCAGGAAACCAAGTATTTACCTACTGTCAAACTTAAGCTTTATTTGTTTCTTTATACTTTGTCTAACAATGTCTGTGTTTGCATCTCAGAAAAGACAAACTTTATTATCCAACACAAAGATTTATTTTGTATTTCCTGTCCTGTATACATAAGAGAATGCTAAAAACTGCCTTCTCCCCTATGCATCACTTTAGTGGCTGCAATGAGCTATTCCTGAATTCAGGAAGTTCTTTAGGTGTTCAGTCTTCTTCACAGAAAAAACAGCTCTCTAGCACACACAGTTTTGACATTGCCAAGTGCATCCTGAATCATACAAACCTGACTGTAAAACGCCTTAGTCCATTTGTTATAATGATTACGGAAACATCACATTTTCATGCTTTTCAGTAAAACTTTAACATGTGCTCAAAGCTGCTTGCCATACTAGAAACCACAGCCATGGGGAAAAAAACCAGTTATGAATTATATCTAGTGCACAAATTTTGAAGAGCAAAAGAACAGGAGAAGCTAAACCCCAGATTTTGATGACATTAGGATTTGGACTTGGGTGTAGAGGTGCAGTTTGGGGTGTTTGTTTTAAGCAATATTTCTTCACTAGTTTCTCTGTATTAGTAGTTTTTCATCTTTCCTGTATTTCTTCCCATTTGTCAGTACAGCTTTGGTAACAAAGTGGCAAGAAATGAATCCTCCAGCACACAGTGCCTGTGTCAGCACAGCACAAAACAAACACTCTTCTGTTGTATAAGGCTACACCAGCACAGTCAGGAAATTGTCTTAGCCTGTTCTGATATTATTACAATACATTACATACTCTTGCCTCCTTTTCATTCCATTCTCACAGCATTTTTCATTCTCAATTTCTCCTTTTTTAGTATTTCAAGTTAGAGTTGCTTTAATCAGTTTATTATCAAGAATTTCTCCCTAAAGTTACATTCCAGTTCACTTTCCCTCTCCCTAAGGACTAAGTAATTTACCTTATATTAATGGTAACAGCACAACCTTGTTCTACACATCATCTGCAAAGAAGCTGACTTTCTGTTTTGACCTTCCATTTTCATCAATGAATGGAAGTATTATATACATTTAACAGTGTTCACAAATGAATATCAGCAAAGAGTACAAATGCCAGTGGAAAAGCAAATTCCCTTCTCCACAGAACTCCCTGAACACTGCTCCTGTGTTAAGTATTCAAACACTTTGTCTCAAGTGAATTTCCTCACAGCAGTGATTTTCTACTTTTAATCTCTTCATGAAACTTCATCAAACCCAAACATTGCAAAGCAGCAGAACTGCAATGAATGATTTCCACCTTTGATAGCCTTGTTATTCTGGTTGTTACTTAGTCTTTACAAGAGCAACAAACTTGAGAGTCTTTACAAGAACAAAGGAAACTTCCCTTGAGTGGCTCAGCCACTTGCTCTTGTTAGGAACGTGAATTAACTTGCTCCACAACTTTCTCACCAGTCAAAACACATTTTGAAATGCATATTTAAGTGGTATGACTTTTACCACTTTCTTGTAAAAACAAGTGTACTATTGTTTCTAACGTATCAACTCGCAGTAAAGCCAGAACCAGTTACATTTTATTTTCAACTATTACAGGTAATAGAGGGGAACCCAACATGTGTACCTAAGGGGTCGTAATTTTTAGCACTGGAAGGAAAATAAAATCCATTAAAAGTCTTGAATCAATTTTTATTAAGATGTTACTCTGCCAATCTATGGCTTGCTTAATTTACCCAGTGTGTGTTGTCTTGGTTGTTTCTAGAGAGGACAGCAGTGTCCTGCTGCAACACTTACCTGTCAGCATAACTGCAAACATGGGAAAAAGGAAGAGAAAAACCTGTCCTTTATGCTCACAGTATTTGTGACTCTAAACTGAATCACAAGAAGGAAAGTAGAAAGTAGCTCTCTAAAGCAAAGAGTAGCAATGCACAGAAACAAGCTGCTGCTGTGCAGAGCTGTGAACCTTCTGTTAGCAGAGGGCTTTTAGAATTCAGAAAAGCAGTGATAAGGATTTGCCTAAATAGAGCTGAGCCTGCAATGGCACATGACAACGGAATAGCAAATGTTGTGAAGTCTCACTTTTCTATGACTGTGTTGGCACAACTGTGAAGAAAGTACAGGTTAATTTGTACCCTGGGGCATGTCTGTGCAACTCTCAAGCATTCTAAAAGCCCATCCGTCCATCCATCCATCCATCCATCCATCCATCCATCCATCCATCCATCCATCCATCCATCCATTCATCCATCCATCCATCCATCCATCCATCCATCCATTTAATTTTGCACTGTATTCAGGTATTTA